ACTGGATGGAAAAGAGTGTACACTTATAATGGGCCCTTTGACTGGAAAAGAGTGCACACTTATTATAGTGAATGGACTGTAGTACAGTACTAGCAAGAGTATAATAACCCCCCCCCCCCCCCCAAGAGTGTGCAACTCTGCATAGGGTCTCCGACGGCGGAACTCACACCACGTGTCCCATATACCTTTGTACTACGTACAAACGTAGGATAGCGTGCGCGCAATGCGAAAATCTGCCGTGATCATGCCGGGGATTTTCATATGCGCAGTGAGTTTCTGTCAGAGAGTGCTTTTTTTAGTACTCCGTTGCTCGCTAAAAACGGGCTGGAAACGTACAACTGCGACACTGCACCGCGTGATGTGATTTTTCGCCGTCGGCGTACCCCATAGAAATGGTATCAGGAGCTGCACACTCTTGGGGGGTTATATACTCTTGGTACTAGTGTTAGATAAACCTTGTTTTAGTTCACACACTCATGTTGTTGGTTTGAAAGCATGAAACAAGGTGGAGGACACAGTGTTCGAAAACAGTGACCTTTCGACAACCATCCACGGTTGGTAGAGCCCCGGTGCGTTGGGACCATCTGAACCATATGGGTGTTGAACCCGGTTCTGACCTTCAGTGAGCTTTGGAGAGCCTCCTAAAATTCGGAGAGGATATGTACATGTAAGAACAGCTCTCGAACTTTTCCGAGAGGATTTAAGAACGCACTCTTAAAAATTAATGTCAGATGTGAATGTTGACGTCATCCAGCTTCTACATAATTCTACATGTAGGTAGGCCTGGGCCATGGCTGGAGTTGCTCGGAAAATATTTATTTTGTTAGATTCTGCATCGATTCACATATCGAGCCGAACTGAATCCTACCCACAAGCACAAGCTTACCGACAGTTAGGCTGCTAACGCGACTGAACAAAATGATCCGGATATCCACGGAAGTATCAGGCGACAGAAGTTGGAGGTCATATCCTTATCCGCGACGTCCATCTCCAAAAAGAACTCGACCATGCTTTGTCTCCTGACGCTTGGCGATAGGTTAGGCGGCGCTAGCGCTATGCGCTAGGCAAAAATAAAATATTTGCGGGGAAATAAATTTTTCCGAGGAATATCGCATTATTATTATTACCCGTGGCCGTGGCGGGAAAGGTGCTGATTGGCTGGAGTACTCGGGCGACGTTGAATATAGCAACGTCGCAGCATTTATCTGCTCCCGCTCTGAACGCGACTACTGTAGTTCCCTTCGACTTCGCTAGCGATGAAAACAAGTCACTGGAGTTCTGAGTCCTGAGCGAGACGAATTGCTTGTCCATCAACATGGTGGCTTCGAATTCGGAGCTTGAAGTTGTCGATGAGAACTCGCCATCTCGGTGGTTGTGGGACGTTCTGCCGTTCTCGGAAAAAAATAATGGCGAACCGTGCGCTGACTCGCGAGAACAGGCTCAGGAAAACACCTTGGCAAACTTCAGGGACTGCATTTGGATAATTTTCCACCAGATAGTTGGCGAGTTGTCCAACGAGAGCGTACGTGAACTCGCTCTCACTGAGTGGCGGATGTACGAAGCGTTGGCACCTGTGCTGCAGAGGAGGAAAGCCGAACTGTGGGCACTCCTCAGAACGCCAAGAGAACTACTCGGCCGCACGCGCACCATAATAAATTTACAAGTGGGTTGGCGTAAGAAAATGAAACCAGCTACATATATGTCTCACCTGAGCCAGGTGGACATCATAATTATGTTTCACAGGCTGTTGCACTCCCGCACTTTCGCCTAACTCGGTCTGCGAGAAGCGCCTGAGACATTTTAGACGAACTCTACGGCTGGGCGACAGATTGATGTGCTATGTTGGTTGGCGTTATGTGCTTACTCTGCAGGTGTACGAATCCAGGACCTGTGACAATGAGCCATTACAGCTCGGATTCTTCCACAGAGCGCAGTATTGATGGTGGTGATGTGGACGGCGGCAACCGCGCTACCAATTCAACCGGCTTTTTTCAAAGCCACCCAACCATTCAAAGAAAGATGGTCTCAATTCCAGTTTAGAATACACACACATGCACACCAGACGCTCGTACACGCACGCTCGTACACACACACACACACACACACACACACACACACACACACACACACACACACCTTGACTTTAACCTTGATCTTGCCCATTGCAATGATGGTGAATGTCGGAAAGTTCAAGTGAGAACACGAGCGCAGAACCTGGCATGCCGTTTCAGGTCTCCTGGTCGACGAAACGGGCGTTCACAGACACAGAGAAGAGGATCAGGAGCGGGCTGTGGCGGTGGAGTGCTACTCGTAACTCGTCTCAGGCCGGGACGCTCTTGGCAACTCTCAAGCCAGGTGGTCACGCCGAGGTCCGCCAGGTCAGTCGACACCAAATCTCGCCACCTCTACTTCGAGCCGTGACGAGGACGGGGGCAGGCAGCTCGCCGAAAAGCAATTGCTTCGGTGCGCGGGCGTCGTCCATCCTGCCGACATGACCCAG